AAAAAAAAAAAAAAAAAAAAAAAAAAAAAAAAAAAAAAAAAAAAAAAAAAAAAAAAAAAAAAAAGAAAAGCTTCTCTATCATTTGCTTGTTTTTCCTTATTCTGGGAGGCCATGAAAAGGCTTTATTGTCGGACTTATCTCATGGTAAGTCTGTAATTATTTGTTGACATGTCTATTTTCTGCTAGTCTATAAGCTCCTTGAAGGCAATCATAATGTCTTGCCCATCTCTGTACTTCAGTGGCTCCCATGATGCCTGGCACAGAGTAGTCACTGTGTAAATTTCAGCTGAATGAAAAATACCAGTCGAAGACAGAGAGTGGAAGTCCTTGGAGTTATGACATATGGACTTTGTTCTCTGTAATGACAGGGAACTATTGAGTTTACTTTGTTTAAAAATACGTGTATCTTATTGAAACATATTCCCAATGTCAAGAAAAAAATTCCAGTCATCCTATCTTTCAAACCCTTGAACTATTTTTATTTCCCATGTGTCCTTTCCAAATTTCAGCTACGAAATTAGTTATACAGATTTAGCTATACAGATTTCTTAGGTAGCTATAGCCTTAATGTATTCATAATTTAGTGTTTTTCTTTTTTAACCTGCCACTTAAGAATTTTTTTCTTTTCTTTTCTTTTTTTTGAGACAGGGTCTTGCTGCAGCTCCATCCTCCTGGGCTCAAGTGATCCTCTCACCTCAGCTGGGAATACAGGGGTGTACCACCACACCTGGCTAATTTTTGTATTGATTGTATAGATGGGCTTTTGATTTTTTGTAGAGATAGGGTTTTACCATGTTATCCAGGCTGATCTCAAACTCGTGGGCCTAAGCAATTGGCCCATGTTGACTTCTCAAAGTACTGTGTGAGCCACCATGCCTGGCCTGCTTTTTTCAATATGAAATTGTTTCTTGGCTGGGCTCGTTGCTTCATGCCTATAATCCCAGCACTTTGGGAGGCCAAGGCCTCCCTGGGGGATTGCATCAGCCCAGGAGTTCATGACTAGCCTGGGCAACATGGCGAAACCCTGTCTCTGCCAAAAAATAAAATAAAAATCTAAATAATTTTTTTTTTCTTTTTTTTTGAGACGGCTTCTCACTGTCACCCAGGCTGGAGTGCAGTGGCGCTATCCTGTCTCACTGCAGCCTCTGCCCCCTGGGTTCAAGTGACTGTACTGCCCCAGCCTCCTGAGTAACTGGGATTACAGGTGCATGCCATCACTCCGCGCCAATTTTTGTATTTTTAGTAGAGACGGGGTTTCACTATGTTGGCTAGGCTGGTCTTGAACTCCTGACCTCAGGTGATCCACCTGCCTCAGTCTCCCAAAGTGCTGGAATTACAGGTGTGAGCCACCGTGCCTGGCCGCTTATCATGTATGGTATAAATTTTCACAATATTCCTCTCTCTTTGGTTTCTAGGTATGAAATGATGCTCCATGTTATTAATTATTAGAAAAATTAGACATTGTTTTCATAAGTTTACTTAGTATCTGTATATTCTGGTGAGCTATTGTGTTTATATTGCCCGAACATTGATTGGTTCACTGAAACTAGATGTTCTTTATATGTTTTAAATATTAATCCTGAACTTGCTATTCATTGCTAATTTTTCTTTCATTTTTATTTTATTTTATTTTTTTGAGATGGAGTTTTGCTCTGTCGCCCAGGCTGGAGTGCAGTGGCGCGATCTTCGCTCACTGCAACCTCCACCTCCCAGGTTCAAGCGATTCTGCTGCCTCAGCCTCCTGGGTAGCTGAGATTACAGGCACCCGTCGCCATGCCCAGCTAATTTTTGTATTTTTGATACAGACAAGGTTTTACCATGTCAGACTGGTCTCAAACTCCTAACCTCACATGCTCTACCCACCTCAGCTTCCCAAAGTGCTGGGATTACAGGTGTGAGCCACTGCACACAGCCTAATTTTTCTTTAAAAATTTTTTTTAATATGAGAACCAAGACACATTTGTAAAAATATACATAATTTGGCTAGGTGCATTGGTTCATACTTGTAAGCCCAGCACTTTAGGAGGTTGAGGCAGGTGGATCACATAAGGCCAGGAGTTTGAGACCAGCCTGGACAGCATGGTGAAACCCCATCCATACTAAAATACAAGAATTAGCTGGGCGAGGTGGTACATGTCTGTAATCCCAGCTTCTCAGCAGGCTGAGGCAGGAGAATGGCTTGAACCTGGCCACCAGAGGTTGCAGTGGCTGAGATCATACAACTGCACTCCAGCCTGGGCAACACAGTGAGACTCTGTCTCAAAAAAATAAAACAGAAAAAAAAAAAGACATAATTTAAAGAATAGTTACATAGAAATTACAAAGTTTAATTATTAACAATTGTACTGTATCAATAGTAAGCATGAAGACTAATTTTAAAATTATAGTTACACATTACCATCTTCCAGATCAAGAAAGGTAGAATATTACCAGGACCTCAGAAGTATACCTTCCTCATCATACCTCCTCCCTGTGTTAGAGATAACTATTGTCCCAATTATTTATTTATTTATTTATTTATTGAGACAGAGTCTTACTCTGTCGCTCAGGCTGGAGTGCAGTGGCGTGATCTCGGCTTATTGCAACCTCCACCTCCTCGGTTCAAGTGATTCTCCTGCGTTCAGCCTCCTGAGTAGCTGGGACTATAGGCGCTGCCACTGCAAATGGCTAATTTTTGTATTTTTAATAGAGAAGGTGTTTCACCATGTTGATCAGGCTGGTCTCGAACTCCTGACCTTGTGATCCACCTGCCTCAACCTCCCAAAGTGTTGGGATTACAGGCATGAGCCACCACACCTGGCCTTATTTTATTTTATTTTATTTTATTTTTTGAGACAGCATTTTCTCTTGTTGCCCGCCCTAAAGTGCAGTGGTGCGATCTTGGCTCACTGCAACCTCTGCCTTCCAGGTTCAAGTTATTCTTCTGCCTCAATCTCCTGAGGAGCTGGAATTATAGGTGCCTGCCACCACGCCCAGCTAATTTTTTTTTTTTT